TATATCAAATGGCAGGCGTCGTGATTGTTATCATTAGCCCATTAGTAGACTTCAGGCCTCACAGAGGGGAAGAAACATCAAATTGAGAAGAGTCTAGAGGGGGGGGGGACAGAAGAGTGTTTCAAAGATCTAAGAGACATACACAAAGGTAGAACAAGGCTGAGGTGAGTATTGTGGAAATAGTCGAATATGGCATAGAGTGAGGTGATGGTAGTTTGAAGTGAGAAGTCAACTGCCAGTTAATAGACTTTTTTGTCGTATGAGTATACGTTGCCCAGGGAGCACCACGTGAAGGTAAGTCTATCGTACACCCCTTATTGGACAATATAAGTAATGTGACTTCGAACTGATGTGTAACTTGATGGATTCAATCATTTACTAGATAAAATTTAAATTAGTCTACAAAATCTACTTGGTTTATATCAGTAACATTGTATATCTGATTAAATAAGTATAATCAGAATAACTTAAAGGTAGTTGGGATCTTTGATCAAGCAGCATCGTCACAACTTGCCGTTTAGATCTACTAAGAGGAGGATTCCGCAAACTTGAACTAATTTATCCGTGTTTATAACATCATTCTACATTTGACTCAAAGTTATTAAATCCTTTTATGGAAAGTGGACAAATGTTTTTCCTGAGCTACAATCAGGAACTTTCCGGATATATACTCACCTGGTCTTACTCGATTTTTAAGGCAACTCGAATAGTGAATTTGATGAATTAGAATCATTTTAAACAAAAAAGTTCTTTTTATAATCATTAAATAAAGCACTTTAATAGCCTTTAAGCTGAAAGATCTTCACTATCATGTTGGCTCAACTTGAGGTTCTCAGACATTAGAAGTCAAGATAAATTGAAATAGCAAGGTCGATCACTCTTGATTAAAAATAGTCCAGAGGCAGTGGAATCTTTTATAAGCATTCATTGGAATCCAGAAGTTGAACAATTTATTTGAATAATAGGATGTGAATTTTAAAATTAAGGAATTATTGTACAACCCACATGTAAAAGTAAGACTCTTTGCCATCTTGACGTTTCTGTTGACATCTTATAGTTTCCTTTCCATCTTCATTATGCATTTAATTTTTCGTCAAATAATTCCAGTTGTTTCTCACAATTTGAAGTTATGATTTTTACATTACTTTGAGTAATAATAACAAAAATGGTTCCTTTAATTTCGGTTGCTAGTGAAATCTTAAAATTTTTAAGTTATCTGGATTCACTAAGAAAAAGAAGACAAAATTCCTTGGCTCTTAGATTTTAGAAAATCGAAATGTCAGGAAACAAAAAGGTTGAATAGAAATTTCATAGAACAGTTAGAGTAGGAGTTATGCATAAGCCCTTTGATAAAACTCATTGTGAAGTATATTTACGCAATCATTCAAGCTTTAAGTTGAATGAGTTCAATATATGTGCCCTAACCATTATCTTTTACCCTCCCATAAATTCAGCTATTGAAAGTGCATTGCGATGACCATTAGTCAACGAAATGCCAAAGCAATGAAACTGTCAAGTGACAGGTTAATTTAAAGTCGCACCAGAGTATAATATGATCCACCTATTTGACATCAAATTTATTTATTTTATTTATTTCAAATGGCAGGCGTTTCGATAGTTATCTTTAGCCTTTAGCTGACTTCGCCCTCCACAGAGGGGAGGAACATCAAAGTGTGACAAATTCGGAAGGGGAAGCAAAAGAGTGATTCAGGGATGTAAAAGAGATAGACAGGCACAAAGGTAGAGAAAAAGTAAGATGAGTACTGTGGAAGGGGTCAAATATGACATACAGTGGGGTCATGGTAGTTTGAAGTGAGAAATCAACTGCCGGTTTATAGACTTTTTGCCGTGTTAGGGTTAGATCAACTGCCAAATAAAGTTAAGCATACGTTTGAAAAATGATTTGTTCATATGTGATATACAATTGTCTCTAAGAATGTCCAAAATGTGGACGCTTTAAAACAATCATGTTTATTTTACGACACAACGTGTTGACTTTAATGAAAATAAAATGGTAACACCAAATAACATCTCATTTGAAATATTGTAATCATTAGCTTTTATGGGAATTGCATTTTGTTTAATTTAAGCGGCTAAATTTACTTTATTAAAAGTGAGTTTTTGGTTTGAAACCACTCTGTTAATAGGAAAAGTTCTTCGAATCTATATTTGTTATGCTACTTATTATGTGCAAAAGTGCGGATCTTACAATTAAGCCTGATTTTAGGGTGACCCGCTCAAAATTAAGCTCTGTTTAGCTCTTAATGGTAGCCAAGTAACTTATGGGATTTAATTAAAGTGACCTTGAAAATTTTTTTCCTGTCTTTTTTTACAAACAATTCACTTTCAATCTTATTTGCACCTCAGTTTAACTGTTTACCCAAAATACTGCCATTATGAAATTTGATTGCATTCATTATACTAAAAGTCTTTTATTAATGCACTATTTTATAGACGAAATTAAAGTCTGTCAAATCATATTCTCGGATAATAATAAATATCTTGGTGATATTGGCAGAGGGTAAACTCGTACTGCGTGATAGCAACCCCGCACCTCCTACTCACCAACCAAAGATTGTGAGGTATAAGAGCACAGGCTATATGAAAGAGAGTAGTTTCTTCACACGCACACACGCACCCAAGAAAGTAAAATTCATGATGGAATCGGTTTGGCAAACTGAGGGAGTTGAACTATCCTCCGTCTATCGTAAAAGGGCCCGTAAAGAACTCAATGAAGATGCCAAACATGTGCAGGCTCATTTAGAAAGTTTCCGAAGATGGTTAAAATCCATGCCTCATCTTAATTGCCCTACCGGTAAGTGTAATGATTCTTTTTTTGTGAAAAATAAAAAAAACATTGATATTCCCTCTAGTATGCATTGTGAGAATATAAATCGTCAATCTTAGCTAAAAGTATTTAAAATTAATTATGGTATTTAACTGATTACCCGTCAAGTTCTATCTCCCATTCTTGACTTATTTAAATCAATACATATGCCTTTGAGAAACAATTTTATAGAGAAAATAATTAAAATATAACCTTGCTGGTAGTGCTGTGATTAACATGGGTTCAAAGTCCATTGGTGAGCACTACTGAGTTGAATGGCCAGAAACCTTAGTTGAGTTTGGCTAATAAATGAATTAGCACATTTCGAGTTTCCCTGAAGGGAAGTTCAACGATGCCGGCTCCTAAACCAGAATGAGGGTTTTAAATATGCTTTAGTAAATAGGATTTAATAATATTATCTCCTAAACGCTTTCAGCTAGTCTAAGATCAAAATCGCAAGATGTTAAGAGTTAAGATTTAAATAATTAATTTTGAAAAATTATGAAACCTTTCAAATCTTAAGTTTGAATAATAATAATAATAATGTAGATTTCTCCGGTAAAAATAATTTTTCCTCAAATAAAAGAACTACATGGGCATTGATCTATTTCTTTGTGGATAAAATTGTGTTGATCCATTAACTATTTTAAGCAATTTTAACCTTTTAAAACAAGTTAATTAAAAAATTTCAAGGTGTTTGAAATAACATCAAATAGTTAAAAATTTTGATTGTTTAATATTCATTTTAATAAAGGCTTAATCGAAAACCAGTGTCCTTTATTATTGCATAGCCATTCTTAATAGTCTTTTCAAAAGTAGGAGTATAAAATCTAGAATCATCATTTACAACGTTTCTTTACTCAAATAATCGATTTGTTCATTGTGTGGTGTGTTACTCCTCAGTCACTCTAGTCTAGATGAACTCAATTATTGCTTCCATCTCCACTATAATGACCAGAATGAACTGCTAATGTGCCTAATTTAACTTATTTTTTCTTAATGCAGACGACAAGTTTTTACTGGCATTTCTGAGATATGCAAAGTATAATCACTCTAAAGCTCAAGCGCGCTTGGATAACTACTGTACCTTCCGAACTTCGCCAACTGAGGGGTGCCCTGATTGGTTTATTCCTGAAACGAACGAAAGTCAATTCGTCCGAAAATTACTTGACCTGAAGTAAGAATGCCTTAGGCTTTTAAAGGGCATTTAATCTAGGTGCAACTCAAATCAATTAACTTTTATTGTTTAGTAAGAAAATAAAAGCTAGCTTTTTCAATAATAAACTTATTTCTCAAGATGGTGAGGGATTATTCTTTCAGTTGCCTTTTGATTATGAAATACGCATTCAATTTATACTTTGCATGATACTTCATATCTTATAGAATTCTTTACCCTTAGTTAAATGGAGCATCTTGTATGAATTTCGCTAGTGGCTCTGTTTATGTTAAGCATGCTACAAGTTATGAGTCATCATATCCAAGTACATTTCCTGTTAGAATTACTTTCTTGATTTCCATTTTTAACGGATTAGCTTTATTTGCTATTATTATTATTATATCAAATGGCAGGCGTTTTGATTGCTATCATTAGCCCTTTAGTTGACTTCAGGCTTCACATTTATCATTAGCCCTTTAGTTGACTTCAGCCTTCACAGAGGTAAAAAATTCAAGAAGGGGGGGGGAACAGAAGAGTGCATCAAAGACGAATGTAGATAAGGTGGAAAAAAGGTGGGATGAGTACTGCGAAAGTAGTCGAATGTGACATACAGTGGGGTCATGGTAGTTTGAAGTCAACTGCCAAGTAATAGACTTTTTTGACGTATGAGTATACGTTGCCCAGGGTGCACCACGTGGAGGTAAGTCTATCACACACCCCTTATTTGCTATTATCGATTTGCGATATTGTATGAGCTATGCTCACCCATTCACTCACTTGGTGGTTAATAAGCATCGAATAATCCTTGAAAACGATCGTTTAGATCGATGCTCTGACTATTTTTCAGAATGCTATTTACTGGTTGCGAGTAAGAACCTGAGGGAGCCGGGATTTTGATTGTACCATCATTCAATTTCTCCCATGTCCCTCACGTCGTTTTGCCAGTTTACGCAAATGTATCTTCCATCCCTATCTGACTAATTATAACAATACGAAATCTCACCCCGATCAATTTAACCTGAAATTTAAAAATTAGCTATTGCTAATTAGAAAAGCAGAGGTCATTTCAAATCATCTCCATTTACTTACTGACTTAGAAAATAGTTCCCATAGAGATATAATTGTTTTTCATTTCATCGACCAATTAACTAATGCAAAGTGGAATAAAAATGAAAATGAGTTTTGGGAATAGGAACAGTTACCTTATAATTAACCCCACAATGGCGCATCTAAAGTCGACTAAATATACCTCTTTCACGCAAAGTTTATGCGGTATAGATTTAGAGTAAGACAAAGTGAACACTTCAATTCTAAAATTGGATGAAAATTATTCATTCACTTACCTTAATTTTTAGAACGTTTACTGATGATGTCTCGAATAAGAAACGCCCATTGTTCAAAATTTTGATTCTTTCGTTATCTGCACAACTTTTAAAAGGACCTTACCTTACAATAGCACATATATACTATTTAAAATATGCAAAACAATTGTCTTTACTTTGAAATTGGATTTAGCTTTAATTTTAACTTTTACAGAGTTTCTGCACCACTAGGATTTATCGACAATGGGGCGGTTGTGTTTCTGGTGAGATTTTGCAAAGTTGACGATAATGAAATATCATACGAAACTATGCGACGTCTGGACAAAGTTCTTGATGAAATCTGCATCTATGATGAGAGAAAACAAATCGGTGGCTATGTGTTAATTTTCGACTTCACTGGAGTGTCCATGCGTCAAGCCAAACTTACATTCGGCCCAAAAAGCAGCAAACTTGAAGGTCAATATTATCAGGTTAGAAAGCATATTTAAAAATTGTGTTCTTTAATTAATAACGACTTTGTTTAAATAATAATAATAAATAACAGCCTGGTTAGCCCCCCAAAAGAGCTATAAATCATAAAACTGAATAAAAAGTACGCAGATGAAATAAGTGAGAACATTATTTCAAAAGTATGCAAAACAACAATCCTGTAATTTACTACGATTAATAAAAATTAAAGTTTAATTAATGTTTGATAATTACTAATAAATATAGTTTTACCTGGATGCAAATTTATAAATTTTAATCCAACATCTTTCTCCGAACGCTGTTTCGTCATACGCTTCAGCCTCGAATCCACATCATGTTTTTCGAGGCCTTCTGAAGTGTTCGGGCTGTTGACTGATCTAGACGACAACTAAAAATACACTTTATTGTGACTTTCAACTGGATATGATTCTGTGTGTTCCTCATTTTTAGGAATGTATGCCAATGAGAGTTGGTAAAATGATCTTCTACAACATGCCATCATTCTTCGATGGACTATTTAAAGTTGCCTATCATTATCTGAAAGAAAAGATTAAATCAAAGGTAAATTTCGTATATATGGTTTTGAAAAAGCTTTAATGCATTCGTTGCTAAGACGAGGAAAAATTAAATTTACGAATGCCTGTTTTATAACAAAGTTACTGCTCTAAAAACCTCAAAGATGCCCATTTCGCTAAGTTCTACTTTATCTGAGTCTAATTTTTAAAACATTTGGGTAACTATGTAGTAGATTTCAGTGCTACCTTACTTATCCGCTGCTCACTAATGTTATCAGTCCTGTAGTACGTCTTGGTGATCTAGTTCTGCCGAAATTCCCTCAGACTCAGAAAGGGTAGACAAAAGTCAGAAGCGCAGTTATTCCAAATTTGCTTTATTAACTTAATAACAAGATAAGTTAAAAGAGCCTATAATTGATTGATATCCCGGCGAGGAGTGAGATCTGTCTCCACTACTGTTTATCTATTCGAGCCACCATTCTGTTAGCTGCTTTAAAACACTTTTTATGTTTTTGGCGTCTTATCAGGTTTTATTATCAAAGCTGACATTTACCCATGTTTTTTAATAAAATATTTACTGCCCAAATCAAATTTGTCTGAATTAAGCAAATCTGTAAAATAAGCTGATGGTGTCACTTCTACTCCAAGAGTTTCAAATTATTTGTTTATATAAACCAACTAGATTAACAGTTCAATTGTATCATCCAATTAATTTGAAAGAAAGTACATTGGTGCAGCACTAAACAACTTCTTCAAATCGAATTT